GGCTGGGCGGTGGTGGTGCAGCCTTTAATCCCAGCACTCGGGAGGCAGAGGCAGGTGGATCTCTGTGAGTTCGAGACCAGCCTGGTCTACAGAGCTAGTTCCAGGACAGGCTCCAAAGCCACAGAGAAACCCTGTCTCCAAAAACAAAACAAAAAAAAAAACCAAAAAAAAAAAAAAAGAAAAGAACCCTGCCTCCAACCTATCTCTGTATTTCTTACCGTCAGTATCTTCGCCATCCTTATGAAAGAATTGTTATTTATCTTTTCCAAGTGGCTTCTCTTCTTCAAACCGAACCTTTATTAATTTTGATGGTATCCACAATTTTTCCTCACCTGTGGAGATAAGAGCAAAACCCCTTCCCCAACGTAGCACATCTCCTGGCTTCCATTGTGAGGTCGGCACATCCTTGAAATAAACTGGTTGATTTAGTTCAGTAGACTTTTCCATTATCCAATGTCTTTCTGCATCCGTTGTTCCCTTCTCATTAGCGTTGAGAAAATTCAAGGTTAACAAAGCATTATGTAACCTATTTCTGGGGGTGTTTTCCACCCCTTTCTGTTTGTTCAACATATCCTTTATAGTTCGATTTGATCTTTCTATGACTGCTTGACCTGTAGGATTGTATGGTATACCTGTAACATGCTTGATATTGTAATAATCAAAAAAACCGTTTCATTTTCCTAGAGACATAAGCAGGACCATTATTCGTCTTTATTTGTGTAGGTATACCCATGATAGCCATGACTTCTAATAAATGAGTGATTATTGAATCAGCTTTTTCTGAACTTAAAGCAGTTGCCCACTGAAAGCCTGAATAAGTGTCAATGGTGTGATGAACATATTTTAATTTGCCAAATTCTGCAAAGTGGAACACATCCATTTGCCAGATTTCATTCCTTTGGGTGCCCTTTGGATTAGCCCCTGCAGGCAGTGGCGTTTGGTTATAGAAAGAGCAAGTAGGGCACTTCTTTACAATCTCCTTAGCTTGTTGCCATGTAATTGAAAATTCTTTCTTCAAACCTTTTGCTATTAACATGATGTTTTTTATGAAATTCAGAGGCTTGTAGCACACTGCCAATCAATAATTGATCAATTTCTGCATTATCTTGTGCTAGAGGACCTGGCAGACCCGTATGGGGATCGGTATGTGTGTTATGTACATAGGGCAAAGCCTGTTCCTGATCAAATCTTGAACCTGGAGAAACAATGAGGTTCGTTCTGTATCATCAGGTATAAATTCAGCAGTTTCAATATGTAAAATAACTCTTTCTGCATATTGTAAATCTGTAACTATATTCATAGGTTCTTTAAAATCTCTTAGCACCATAAGAATGGCATATAATTCCGCCTTCTGGACAGAATTATACGGACTTTGTTCCACCTTACCCAAGTCTTCTGATTTGTAACCTGCCTTCCCTGATTTATTGGTATCAGTATAGAATGTACGGGCTCCAGTTATTGGAGCATCATGGACGATTCGAGGAAGAATCCAAGAAGTTCTCTTTATGAAGTTAAGCCTCTTGCTTTTTGGATAGTTGTTATTAATGTCTTCCAAAAAATTAGCACAAGCTCTTTGCCATGGTTCATTATCTTCCCATAATTTCTTTAGTTCATCAGCAGTGAAAGGCACTATAATTTCTGCTGGGTCTATGCCTGCTAGTTGACGAAGTCTCAGCTTGCCTTTTTTAATTAACTCAGAGACTTTTTCCACGTAAGTTTTCAGTTTCTTACTTGGTTTATATGGTAAAAAGATCCATTCCAAAATAATATCATCTCTCTGCATTAAAATTCCTGTAGGAGAAATTTTTGATGGTAGTATGATGAGAATACAATTGAGCTCTGGATTCACCCTGTCCACATGTGCCTGTTGTAATTTTTCCTCAATCATTGTCAGTTCCTTTTCTGCTTCAGTTGTTAATTCTCTGGGACTGTTTAAATCTTTATCACCATCCAAGGTTTTGTTCAAATGAATTATTAGATCAGGTGTTATTCCAATAGCTGGTCGTAGACTGGAAATGTCTCCTAACAGTCTTTGAAAGTCATTAAGAGTCTGTAGGCGATCTCTCCTAATTTGTGCTTTTTGTGTCTTAATTTTTTGCAAACCTATTTTATAACCTAAATAATTAACAGAATCTCCCTTCTGAATCTTTTCAGGAGCGATTTGCAATCCCCATTTAGGTAAAAGTATCTTTATTTCTTCAAACAGTCTTTTCAAGGTATCCATGTTTGAATCGGATAACAAATGTCGTCCATGTAAGGGTATACTATAGATTTGGGAAATTTCTTGCGTATTATTTGCAATGGTGCTGGAGAAGTAACTGAGAGCTGCTACATCCTGATCTTTAGGCAGAAAGAGAGACTGGGACCTGGCATGGGCTTCTGAAACCTCAAAGCCTATCCCCAGTAACACACATTCACCAACAAGACCACACCTCCTAATTCTTCTAATCCTTTAAAATAGTGCCACTCCCTGGTGACTGAACATTCAAACATATGAGGCTATGGGGCCGTCCTTATCTAAACCATTACGGTTTGTGAAAACAAGCATTCTTAGTAGGTCAACAGTTATAAAGCACACACTCAGTGCAAGTCTCAGGGCATCGTAAGTGCACAATAAATGTATGGAGCACTCCAGGGACAGCCGAAGGAAGGGAGGACAGGAAGTTAGCCATTTTACAGGATGAAGATGAAGGTCTTAAGGTAAGGTGAGGTCCAGAAAGAACGGGGAGACATTTTTCTCTTAGCCCTCTCTATCCTGAGGTATATGACGGTGTGTCCCTATTCCTCCTGGACCTGGGGGAAAGGACATTTGGGGCTGGCTCTCAGCAGAGAAGCACAAATACAATATCCAGGGCTGACCGCAGATTCAGGCTGGGTTCAAGTAGAGAGGTCACTGGGGCTGATGGAGAGGTGACCCAGTCCTGAGACTGTGTACAGTCCACCTGTGACACAGGGTGGACGCCGTGTCCTGAGACTGGTGCAACCCTCTGTCTGGGCACAATCTGATCATCCATTCAACTGATACTTACTGAACATCTGCCACGTGCCAGGCGTGGCCCCAGGCCCTGAGGGCCGCTGTGGACTGGGGAGGCTGGACCTCTGTGATCTGGCTTCGCCAGGCGCTGCTGTCTAGCTGCAGTATCCCTGCCTTGTAGACACTCATCACTGCTGTGGGGCAGACAGTCTACACGGTGGCCTCTGTGCTGACTCTGCTCTTCGTCCTCATGTACATCTTCGCTATCCTGGGATTCTGCCTGTTTGGCCTTGTGGAGAGGGGCGACCTGAATAACTGGGGGAACCTGGCTTCAGCTTTCTTCACGCTCTTCAGTCTGGCTACGGTACTTGTGTTTGGGGTTGGGGACCGTGGCGAGGGTGGAGCCTGGAGAGGGACTGTCTAGGAAGTGTGAGCGTGTAGACATGTTGGGCCTCTTGTGGAGCCTTCCCCACTTTCAGGTGCTTATTAGTGGGCACAGGAAGCTGGGGTTCCCTGCTGGGGCAGTCGTAGGCCAGTGGGCTCCAATTCTGTCTCTAATTCCGTGATTTTATAAATCGCTCCGTGGGTTGCACAGGATAATAAAACTTGCTAGAATTCTCAAATGATACTTAATTTGGATTAACCTTGTTATAAATGAAGCCCACAACATACAATTATTTTTTTAAAAAAACAAGCTGTCACAAATTCACCCAGAATAAGCAAAACCCAAGTCTCAAAGTCTAGACTTTTGAAATATATAAAGAGTGGCATTTTTTTTTTAAAAATTGTTTTGCTTTTATTTTTTCCAAGGATGGGCCTGGAAATAGACTGTACATTTTAGGAGAAAATGGGAGATCTTGAGACAAGAGACTCTCTTAACACATTGGCTTCCAACTAGTGGCACCCTGCATTTCTTTCTTTCTTTCTTTCTTTCTTTCTTTCTTTCTTTCTTTTCTTTTTTCGAGACAAGGTTTCTCTGTAGCTTTGGAGCCTGCCCTGGAACTAGCTCTGTAGACCAGGCTGGCCTCGAATTTACAGAGATCCGCCTGCCTCTGCCTCCTAAGTGCTGGGATTAAAGGCGTGCGCCACCACCGCCCGGCTCCTACATTTCTATGTGTAGCTGACAGCCAGTGGATGGGGAGGGGCCAAGGACTGATGTGGAGACGGAGCTGGCAACCACCTTAGTGGGTCTGGCGCTCCTCTGGCATAGGTGACATGGAAACCTACCCTGCTGGGTCTCGGTGCTCAGTATACCCTGCCTTGCCTGACTAGGTTGATGGCTGGACAAACTTGCAGGAGCAGCTGGACCAGAGGAAGTTTACTGTTAGCCGGGCCTTCACCATCCTCTTTATCCTGCTTGCTTCCTTCATCTTCCTCAACATGTTTGTAGGTGTGATGATCATGCACACGGAGGTAAGTCTGTGCCTGTAGAGTGTGTGGTGCGCGCGTGTGCATGTGTAGAGTGTCTGTGCCTGTAGAGTGTGTGTGCGCACGTGTGCATGTGTAGAGTGTCTGTGCCTGTAGAGTGTGTGTGCGTGCGTGTGTGCATGTGTAGAGTGTCTGTGCCTGTAGAGTGTGTGTGTGCGCGTGTGTGCGTGTGCAGTGCTCAGGTTAGGTATGGCAGATAGAGGCATGGGCCAGGTGACCCCCTCTCATGTGCGCCTCTTCTCCTGAGTTCACCACTTCACGATGGGACCGGCAGGCCGGGTGGAGTGGGGGTTCAGGGCAAGCTAGGCAGAGAAAGGCTGGGAACAGAGAGCTGCAGAAGAGACACCGTGGTCTTGACTTATCTGTTCTGCTTGCTAGGACTCCATCAAAAAGTTCCAGCGGGAGCTGATGGTGGAAAGGCACGTGACACTTCTGGAGGAGAAGCAATTGATCCTGAGGCGCCAGCAGGAGGAGGTCAACAGGCTGATAACCACCAAGGTAGTTGGCCACACCGGAGAAATGACAGACAGACAGAGGATTGGCTAGGAGGAAGGGCTTTGCACTCAAGTAGAGGTCAGGTGGTCTCAGGCGCGTGTGGTTTTGGGTAAGGCAGGCCTCTTCCCCTGCAGCCACGAGAGCCCTGCCTTTCTTTCTGTGTGTGTATTTCCCGGAACAATGTGGATCCTTGGTGGATGGCTCCCCACTGTGGGGTCCTTCGTGCTGGAGCTTCTCACTGAGGTTCCTCTGGTATCAGGCAGCTCAACCCCAGGCCACTGTGTGGGGGTGAGCATGGGATGCTCGGCCAGGGTGTCACTCAATCTCATATCTCCCCCCTCCCCCCAGGTTCCTTGAATCAGGACAAGAGTAAGCACAGTGTCAAGAGTCAGCCAAGCATGGCACCACCTTGTAGGCTGCACTCTTTTCTGTCTGATGCTCTTGGTCTAACTTGGGGGCCCTACTGGGTCCTTCGGCTGTCAGAGTGTCTTTTTTCTGAGGTAGACCTGCCAGTCTCTCATGCCCAAGGTTTGTTCAGGGTTGGAGGAGGCCACACAGAATCACCCTTAGACATTCTCTTGTTCCTTTAGACCCTTGGCCTCACACCAGGGATGGTGATCCATGAGACTGTTTCTTTCCCACAGGCTCTGGGCTCAGTGGTCAGGATGAACTTGGACTCTTGGAGTCCACAAGGGTTATCAGGTCTCTGTAGCTTGGCTGCTCTTGTCCTTGGTCTCTCATTGCTTTCCTCTCTAGAAAACCGGAGGCAAGAACTTCACGGAGCTGGTGGAGGAATTCAAGAAGACCCTACGGCACACGGATCCCATGGTCCTGGATGATTTTGGTACTAGCCTCCCCTTCGTCAATATCTACTTGTCCACTCTGGACAACCAGGACAATACTCTCAAGAAGTGAGTGACTGGTCCCCATGGCTTCTTCAATGCCAGGGCATATTTGTAGACCCCAGGAGATGGAAGGGTTTGTAACCAAGGTGCATGGGTGGGTACACAGAGTTCCTCCCTGAGAGTGCAGGATCCCATGTATGCCTGGGTGCTTGGGCTGCTGTGTGCAAGGGTCTGTGTTGGAAGGGGCTCTGCTCTGCTGGCCCTCCCAACTCTCTTTCTCTCTCTCTTCCCCTCCCTCCCTCCTCCTCTGCCTCCCTCCTCCCCTCCTCCTCCTCCTCCTTCTTCTTCTCTCTCTCTTCTCTCTCTCTCTCTCTCTCTCTCCTCTCTCTCTCTCTCTCTCTCGTTTGTACCCAGATGTTTTGTTTGCTTCCCTCGTCTCTTCAGGCCCCTGCTCACTAACACTTTCCAGGGAGCAGCGAATATGTGTGCAGGAGGTGCTAAGTCAAGTGCAGAGGGTCCTAGCTTGGCTCTGCTGCCATCTTCCTTTTAGCTTTGAACAAGTACCACACAAAGAGCCACTGGGCCAGCTACATGAGACCCGACTCAGGTCTTATCCTCAGTGCCAGCTAACTGGGGTTTTGGCTGGCAGCTGAGGAGTTGTGGACACTAGGAAGCTACTGTGGACTCTGAGCAAGAGACTTCAGTGACTAGGGGAACTGACTGGAAAGGAGTGAACCAGGGAATGCCCATTTTGGGTTCAAGCACAGGCCAGGTACTGTTTAGGCACCAGCATGCCATCCCTGCTTGCAGAGTGCAGGGGATTGTTGTGGACATGCTACATGAGACGGATGAGTTAGCTTATGTCGGGGACCCCCGGCAGAGGGACAGATGCAGGGTTCCAACCTACCTGGAGTCTTACTTCTCTCCTGATCCTACACAGACCCCGTGGGTTCCATGACTGCACGGGTACCAGTATGTGGTATGTGGGGACGGCATGGCATGGAGCCTGCTTTGTCCTCAGGTCTCCGCTCCTCTGCTCTCCAGGCTTCAGGAGCTGTACTATGAGATCGTGAATGTGCTGTGTCTGATGCTTGAAGACCTGCCCCAGGAGAAGTCGTCCCACAGCTCGGAATTACTGATTTAGAGGTAGTGGGGCATGTGTGACCTCAAAAGCGTAGCAGTTCCATTAAACAGCGGCCTTCAGAGGTGGCTTCCAAACTTGTTACAGTCTTGGTGTTGGTAAGACCTGCCTTTGGGGGATAGGCCTGGGTGAGTGCTCATGGAAGTCGCTCTCCCAGGGCCTCGGTTGCGGGAACAGGTGGGTTCAAGATCTACCCTGGCTAATAACGACACTCGGTGGACTCTCTAAACCCGACAGCAAGGGCCCACTGAGCTCCCAGGGAAGCTGCCCGAAGACCACAGACCAACAAGAGCCTCCGTGGCTCTGTCACTGCTCATGACCCCTGCAGGCTGACCTGTGCAGCTGCCCCTGTCTGACAGACCCGTTACCCACACAGACTCTACTTTGGAAGTTCATGTTGATTTCCTCAGGGTTCATGCCAGTGCCTGTGGTGTGACCAGAAAGGTTAACATCCTGGACTTCTGCCCAGGGGAGCCGCCTACTGGCCATGTTAGGACATCTCCTGGAGTCTGGAGCTGCAGCTGGCCCTTCAGACTTCTCTCCTGTGATTGGTTAAGACTGTTTAGATGGTGGCGTTTTCTGTATCACTACTGGCCAAATGTCTCTTGGAAGTGCGAAAGCGGTAGGACCACTGTGCAGGGTTAGAGCCATCCGAAGATCCCCTGGGGCAGGCCAAGGAAGGCCAGGGCATCAGGACCTCTTGCTCTAGACAGGTCAGCTCAATCCTGGTAGTGCCACTTGCTCCTCACTGATGTGCTCTGTGCCTGAGACCTGTCAACTGCACTGTGTCATCTTAAATAGAGAGGGATGTAGGTCCTGAGAAATGTGTGGAGGGAGACTGGTACCCTCTGCTGGGTACCACTGGCCCCAGCTGTGAGCAGGACAGCGAGAAGCAGAGGTGGTAGACCTAGACATGGTCCTCACCTGCGAGGGACCCTTTCCCAGCGGTTGCCTAATGTCACCCTGCGTAGCAGATATTTTCACTATGATTCATAGCCGTAGCGAAATTACAGGCATGAAGTGGCGGCAGAGATAATTGTATGGTGGGGGTCATCACAGCGTGAGGAACTCTATTGAAGGGTCGCAGCGTTAGAAAGGTTGTAGACCAGAGGTTCCATGGTTGGCCAAGGGGCTCTGGCTTGAGTTGTGGTAGCCTGAGGCCAGGGGACAAGGGCAGGAGAGGGAACCTTTCCTCATGGCTTCATTTGTACCCAGAGCAGTGCTCAGTGAGCTGTGCCGTGTACGGGGTCTTTGGTGATGGAAGCTGAGTACACTCCTGGCAGTCAAATCTAGCCAGTTACGTGTTCAGAGGTACAGAAGACCTTTTTCTTCTCCTCCCCCCTCCCCTCTTCCTCGTCTCCTCCTCCTCTTCTTTTTTCTTTTTAAGACAGGGTTTCTCTGCTCCTGCCTATCCTGGAAGTTGCTCTGTAGACTTCTGTAGAGCAGGCTGGCCTTGAACTCACAGAGATCCACCTGCCTCTGCCTCCCAAGTGCTAGGATTAAAGGCGTGCACCACCACCCACGGCCTGGCCTTGTTTATAAGAGCCTCAGGTCATTTCCCCGAGCCAACACTCACCTTCCAAGGACATGGAAGAGAGAGAGAGAGAGAGAGAGAGAGAGAGAGAGAGAGAGAGAGAGAGGAGAAATTGCTAGTGGGGGTGTGACAGCTTGCCCTGCTGTGGAGGGCCCATCGGGTAGGGGGTGCCATCAACCTGTCTTCTGTGCTGATGTTTAGACATGGGCCTGAGATCAGTTGAGTGTCTATGTCCCTTTGGTAGTTGGAGAAGCTTGGGGTTTTAGTGCCAGTGAGGAGATTTAAATAACCATGCTGAGAGCAGCCCACTAACAGGGTAAGTAGGTCTGAGGTAGTGGTTCCAGTTTGGGTCTAGGGCAAAGCAGGCAATGTTATTTGCTGGCCATAAATGTCCCCCTAGCATGAGGAACATGGAACTCACCCACCTGCTCCCTTTAGGAACCTTGGGAATTTCCCAGGCATTTTGAAGTGAAGAAAGAGATGGGAAACCTTGCCCAGGAAGGCCCCTGGTTTGGAGTTAGGACAAAACTGACTGCTTAGAAGGACTAAACTGAGTCGGGCAGTGGTGGCACACACCTTTAATCCCAGCACTTGGGAGGCAGAGGCAGGGGAATCTCTGAGTTCAAGGCCAGCCTGGTCTACAAGAGCTAGTTCCAGGATAGGCACCAAAGCTACACAGTGAATCCCTGTCTTGGGGAGGGGGGGGCGCAGAGGGGAGGAGCAAACTGAACACATGTAAGAGAGTAAGGAATGTTGCCAAGCCAGGATTTGGTACTTCCTAGTGCTCGGCCCCCTCTGCCCTGGGCTTGGTGGACAGAGGAAGCTGAGCAGTGCTCAGAGGGCAGGAGTCTATGCAGGGCCCTGTGTGAATGCGTCTCCAGATAGAACTGGTTCCAAACGTGAAAACAGGAGGTTAGATCTGGAGAGCCAGGTCCCAGGTCCCAAAGGATGCCCAGGTGCACAGGCCACCAGATGTGGGGGGCACTCGCAAGTCACCTTTAGGTACAAGAAGGCTTTGGAGAACAGAGAACTGGGAGAGGTGACGTGGTCAGGGCTGGCCCGGCCCCACTGGCGGAATAAACCCGTGGCTATTTGGCATAGAGGCCCGGAGCAGCGTTTCTGTTTGGCTCTCGCAGTCCACAGAGCAAACACTGGCAGCTTGCAAGTCCCACTTGGGTTCTCACCAACTCAAACAGGCTTGGCCAAGACTCGGATTGATTTGCTAGGGACAGCAGAAGTTCTGCTTGCCCGGGCCTGGCTGTGGAAAACAGGACTTTCTTCCCTGTATAACTCATAACAGGGCTGTCCTGAGATTTCTGTTAGTGCCAGGTTCTCCCCCGGCTCTTGCAGGAGAGATGTGGAATCTGAATTGGAGGTGGTTTCTCTGTTTCTGTTTTTGTTTGTTTTTGTTACTCCCCTCTACCACTGCTGAGTCCTCCAGCAATCTAGTGATGTGGAGACCATCTCTATTCGAGCAGCCTTTCGAAACTTGGTAGCTAGACACTGGGAGCAAGCAGTACACCTTGGTGTCTTTAAACAAACAACACGGGATGTCTCTCAACTGAACTAGTCTTCGACAGGCAGGGTTCTCTCTCTCACTGGCATCAGATCATTGCCTGTTTCTCACTCTGTCCTGGGCCCCACATGGGCTTGCTCCATTGTTCTGCAAGCATTTGAAAAGGTGACTGAATTCCTCCACAGTCCCCACAGAAAGGAGACTCGGGCAGAAAGGAGGGAGTCCAGTGGGACTGACACGTCTTCTCTAGACCACTCCTCCCTGGAGAGAACATCCTTGTGCCTGGTCAGCCAGGCCACCCTCTGCTGAGTGCTGTCTTATGTTTCTCCAGAGCAGTGCTTCTCAGTGCTTCCTAATGCTACAACCCTTTAATATAGTTCCCCATGCCCTGGTGACCCCAACCATAAAGTTATTTTGTTGCTACTTCCTAACTGTAATTTTGCTGTTATAAATTGTAATGTAAATATCTGATATGTTCCCCCCCCCCCCCAAGGGGTCAAGACAGACAGGTTGAGAACCACTGCATTAGAGACTTTGTGTGTCGAGCCCTGGAAGGACTGTGCTGTGCAGGGCCAGAGCTGGGAGGAGAACATTCTTAGCTCTTGGTTCTCCTCCAGGGTGGAGGAGAACCAGGGTAGCAAAGCAGAGGGTACTCATTGCACAGACGTGGGCTTGGTGTATCTGCTTGAGAGCAGCTGGGGGAAGGGAGGGGAGGGAGAGGGCAGAGCCGAGGCTGGGTAGATGGTCTATGACAGTCTGATATCCTTCTGGGCTGAGAGTTGGATCCTGCCATTCCCTGAGAAAGGCAAGCAATCTTTGGGATTTTTTTTTTTTTTGAGACAGGGTTTCTCTGTATAGCCCTGGCTGTCGTGGAACTCACTCTGTAGAATAGGCTGCCCTTGAACTCATAGAGATTCAGCTGCCACTGCTTTTGGAGTGCTGGGATTAAAGGTGTGTGCCACCACTGCCCAGCCTTTAGTTGCTATACTGGACCTTTTAAGTGGAGCCCAGTACTCTAATAGATTAGACCTATATTTATTTAGGTTACATTAAAGATCCTCTGGGGCATAGGTGTCTAGCTCAGTGGTGGAGAGTTGCCTAGTGTGTGTGTGTGTGTGTGTGTGTGTGTGTGCGCGCGCGCGCGCGCGTGTGTGTGTGTGTGTGTGTGTGTGTGTGTGTGTGAGAGAGAGAGGTCTAGGTTTCCAAGATAGAGATGGTAGAGTAACAGAGATATAGATAGATAAGACAAGATTATCTTTAAACTGGGAGTTGTTAATAAGTCTAGGTGTGGTGCACGCCTTTAATCCCAGCACTCTGGAGGCAGAGGCAAGCAGGTCTCTGAGTTTGAGGCTAGCCTGGTCTACAGAGCTAGACAGCCAGGGCTAGGACAGCCAGGGCTACACAAAGAAACCCTGTCTTGAAAAACCAAAACTAAACCCAACCAACCAACCAATAAACAACAACAACCTAGAAGCTTCCTCTAGTATCTCAGAGGTGGTAGCACCGAGCATGACTGTCTTTTGCAAAATGAAATGACTCAAAAAGGGAGCATGGAAGAGGCCACAAGGGAATGGGGAGTTTGTTTTCTAACTCCAAGAATCAGGGTTGATTGAAGCTTGTGCATACCAACCATGAGAGAGGGAGGGGCTCAGGGCAGAATCCCTACTGCCCTCTGACCCTTCCCAGGGTGCCCTGTCTTGGGACTGAGGCCTGAGGTGAAAAAAAAAAAAAAAAAACACAAAACTTGACACTGAGCCAGAGGAGGAACGAGCCAAGCAGAGGTCAGGCCAGGCCCAAAGGTGCAGCTTTCTGTCTTTGTTGGCCAAGGAAATCCTGCTTTCTGCTTGCTGGCACTTCCGTTCACCGGCCTCCTAAACACGTACAGATGTAAGCACAGAACCCCAACATGGGTGTCTTCATGGTTTCCATTGAGCAGGGGGCAAAACTGAGGTTCAAAGAGGCGATGTAATGGGTCTGGGGTTGC